ACTTGTGAAAAATATTTCATTCAAATTAAACCATTCTGAGAAAACTGTCCTGTGAAAAGTATAGCATTTAATTCCGTTCAGAATGAAATGTTTGTTTAAAAATATGTTGTTTTCACATACTTAGGACTCTGAAGTGTTGTAGAAAAAGAAAATATATACATTTATATGTATATTTGCGACGTAATTACAAAATATTTACACCCGAACGCGTCAAATCCCATAGAACTCAATGGTAAATGACCCAATGTTTTGGTCACCACGTAGGGATCGCCGGTGCTTCAGAGCAGGGTACGGAGAAACTTGTTTAGGGCGACTCCTTCTTACTTCCTACCTCCATGTTCGAATCCCGGCGAAGGCATAGTTGCTTCCTCACGTTTCTCACACCAAGTCGAGTCACACGAGTCGAAAGTCCTCTCGTGTGGATTAGTGGAAGGGTATGGATCTCTCCCGGGGTGATCCCCCTCAAAATTGAGGAGGAAAATAGAAGCCCAACCACTCTTTGGAGTAGGCTCTGGCAAGCATTGTTCCATGTAATATGGACAAAACAAGAACAAAACTTGCACTCGTGATATTTTTTGTAATAAAACATGGGCATATTTCCTATTCTTAATTTTCACTAACATCAATTATTATTTGTTATATTTGGTTTCATCACCGCGTGACTAGCAACAAACTGCAGTTTGAGAAATGATTCACTTAGTGATATCTAAAATTTTTTAAATTTTTTTTTATATTAGTAACTGAATACCAAAAAACATGGTAATCTTTTTCGTTGACTTTACGTTTGAAGATGATTACAATATTCAGCTAACTCCTATGCGATGTACTAAGTATGTTGACCAGGAGAAATTTAATATAAATTTCTTTCCATCTGCAAAAAGCTAGATTTTGTGAATGAAACTCACAGGTCAAAAGATTACATTTAGTGCTGTTTGAATTCAGAATAATTGATTTGCTATTCAGATAAGCCCAGGGCATGTGCCAGAACTAGTACAGCGGCACCAGTTAGCACCAGTAATACAATTAAGCACGAAAATAATTAATTTTGGATACCTTGTGATAAATGAACTAAGTTCATTGTTCAGTTATCTTGTTGCAATATCTTTTTTAAAATGTGGGGAATATTTATTTTGAACTGCGCACTGAAACATATTTCATTAATTCACCTTTCACAGTAATCAAATCTAACTGCACCCTCAATTTAGGTTACGCTTTTGGGGAGAAGGAGCAATTCTAAACATTACTAGCTTATTGTCACAAAAACATTATAGGCATGGTACACCGGTTTTTTCCAGATATTCCAAGATGCACATAAAATGTTCAGATATCTTTTATTTTAAAATGCAATAAGGAAAATAATGCAGATGTTGAGAATATTTTGAAAAAAAATGCTGAATATCTTTTAGAGTACCTAATATAAATATTTCTTCTAAAAACAACTAAAATTACATAGCTTTCCTTCACTTAAAAACATTATTACGGCATATTTGATTACAATCAGTAGCATTACATAAGACAAACAAAATATTTGTAGACATTTCTAATGCTACATATATGTCCTACATGTGTAATTATTTACAATAATATTTCAATCAAAATTTTTGTAATATTTGAGGATATACCATTTTTGTATTTCATATAAGATAAATATGTTCTATAACCATAACTACTTCGAAGAACTTTAAATAACTTTAAGTAAATTAGCTGCAATTTTTACATATATATCCTTTGACAGTTCATATACAAAATACATGTTCTGCTAACATAATCACTTGCAACAGCCTTACAAGCTTACGTCATTAATCTACAGATACATCCTTTTTAGTTATCCATATACAAAAAAGCGCGTTCTGCTTGCATTATTATTTCCCGTAACACTACAGAACAAATATCTGTAACCTTTACACATGCATCCTTTGGTAATCCACATAAGAAAACTATGGTAATATTTACATATTTCCTGTAACATTACCGATCAAACATCAGTAACCTTTACAGAATCCGCATGCAAAAATTATATGCTTACAGAATTATTTCCTGCAACAATATATGTCAAATCTCTATAACCTTCAAACGTTTAGTCCATGTAAAGTTACTAAGAATAACCCTATTATGATTATTCAAATAGCCCATGGCATCCAAGTTTCCATGAATTTTTTCAGTACAGAATTTCTTTTACAGTGCAGGAGCTCGTGTATGTGGATAACCAATGTGTATCAGAATACCGCAGGTTTAGTTGCAGCTGATTTAAACTTATGTTTTTATGAAACCTTGAATAAATAGCCATCTCCAATCACAGGTATGTTTCGCTTAAGAATTCCTCATCCAGCAATGGTCTCAAATTTCAGAAATCTACTATCTCTGTCACAGAAAGATTATAAATATGGCAGAGCACTCGAAGGCTATCAGCCCAAGGAGAACTATGGCTTCGTGGATGACTTTCTAGGGAAAACTGGCTCGTACACATATTACACATAAGAAAAAGCATGAAAACGCGCAAAAGCTGGTGAACATTATGTTTTTTAGCTTTCCTGTCTTCTAAAATGGTGGTTTATTATTTCATTCATTGTTACTACAAATGTAATTTTAAGACTTTGCAACTGATTTCTATGTCGGTGGATTTTCACTTGTTACCAAACATTTAACTTTAGAAATATTAGAAACAGTGCTTACCTTTTTCGGATATTTGTTCTCTTAAGAAAGCGCAAAAATATATTCCTCAACGCACAACTTGTTTACACGTGACGTTTTGAACGAATAATTAATTTAAAAGTAGCAGACGATACTTCTCATTTCAAACAATAAACTGCTGCCTAAAATTTTTATTCCAATATATTTGCATTTTAAAAATTTTTAATCAAAATCGTTCTCAAAATATGTAAACACCCTCTGTACGTTAGATCACCCTCGAAATTGATTAAACTCTTGTTTCTACGCCAGTCTAAGGCTGGTCCCCTTCTTAATTTTTAACATTATTTTAGTATTTTATGTTTTACTGTAGTAGATTTCTCAGAAGTCCACTTCACGGTAATTCTGTGGGTATTCTTCACGGTAATTCTTAGGATCTGAGGGTAAACTTAAAAGTAGCAAGCATTAAATAATTTTAACGTATAAAAAACAAAAAGGGTAATGCATGGCGATTTATGAACTCTTTAAAGGACCGCACTTGATGGTCGAACAAATTATAAGAAAGAAATCTAATACTTTATTGAGAAAACTTATAGATAAATTTTCCATGATTTTTTTCTTAAAGCTTAAATTGCAATAAATCCTGTATTAACGGAGATACATTAAAAGATATAATCAATTAAGCTTAATAAAATAGTTAAGGAAACGGCGAAAATTCTTAAACATCAACTGAACTAAGAACCGTTTCATACATTGATCAAAATTTTATTTTATTAGCACAGGTATCAAATTTTACATGAGTATAACTGCTGGTATACAAACATAATATACACGAAGAAAATCCGTGATTCAAAACTCTTCGATATAATAATATTCAAAAATGAGTTCTTTGATAAATCTGTTGTTTCACATCTATTTAAGAAGCATTTAATAAGAGAAGTTTATTTGATCTCAACGTTTATAAATGTTCCATTCATATGAATGACATAAAATACTCCACTGAACGAAGAATCAGTAAAATTTTCTGAAAATGCAGGTTTAGAATAGTACCAACACTCTAAAACGGCCAGTACTTTCTAGGTTTTTTAGAGCTTGCTTATATCATTTAAGCCAGCAGTCCAAGAATTCTTCCATGTGATTTTTATCTGGGCAAAGTAATGGCTATTTCATCACATGAACATCGTGAGACAAATCCTGCTTATGGCGAGGCGTACGATATAGAGATGCATTGCTAAATCAGCTCGAATGTTATGGTTTCTCTGTTTAAGATAACTTCTTACGAATAGACCTAACAAAAATTCACTGCATCTCAAATGTAGACTACGATATGAGAAATTACCAACCACACCTCGTTTCTGAATGTACAGCCAAACATGTCATCCCATATTCCTGAACCTTTTTTTTTTTTTACAGTAATATCCTAAGAACACCGTTAACTCCTTCATACCTTCCAGTGTCCCAGTGCAGCGCTTCTCAAACTTTTTTCAAGTGGAGACCTATAACTGCTGGTATACAAACATAATATACACGAAGAAAATCCGTGATTCAAAACTCTTCGATATAATAATATTCAAAAATGAGTTCTTTGATAAATATTTCAAGTTCTTTTGGGGGGAGCTGTTCTGTGTTTGGATCTGTGCTAGTAAGAAGTACCACAGTCATACTGTTTAAAATTTCTCTTTTGTTGCTAAGACTACAATGAGAATCCCGTAGATAGAGTAACAAGTAGCAAATTTCATAAAATGTCAGTCTTGGAAGTAATCGTGACAGACGAGTGTGTGCTATCACAGTTACGCAGTTAATTAAAATTTTATTTTTCGTATTCCCTTTAAATCTAGGAGGATCACAAGGGCAGGTTTCGAGGATCACTTGTGGTCCGCGGCCCACAGTTAGGGAAACGCTGTTCGAGAATGCTTAAGATTTGAAACAAGCCCTTACTAAAGAAATCAATGGCGTTGGCAGAACGGTGTACCGACGAATGTCCTACGACATCGAATGATGTGTTTAACTGCGTATTTTTTCAACATTTACTGGTTAGTAATGCTGCATTTATTGGTAATTAATGGTTAGTAATCTGCCATACATACAATTTAGAAGCAATAAATTATTGATAATTTTACTCGTATTCAAATAGGTAAGATTACTTATATATTAAGTGATAATTATCTTTTACGTGGCTTCCACCAGCGGCCGTGCGGTAAAATCGCTTAACACTAGTAGTTCCGACATATGTTCAAATCCAGGCGAAAGGGTTGACTGCATGGGCATTTTCGTGGTTTTAGCCAATTTCCCTTAGAAAGTCCTCTACGTAGGCATCCCTTCCATCAGGCAGATAGTCCTAGTGTAATATTAATTAATAAAACCAAACCAACCTTTATATGGCATGTTGACGAAAACTTGCCAGTAAATGCCTGTCTCCTGTTGCAACCACACAGAACAACCTAGGCATGAAAAAGCTAGTAAAGCGTATGGCAATCATTAATATGACAATCTTTAAGCGTAAGAAATACAACAAAATGTTTCAAGTTCTTTTTTTTGGGGGGGGGCTCATTTTTTAGTCGTGGAAGACTTATTTAGAATTACGACAGTGGGTTGCCAAGTCATGAGCCTATCCACGAAAGAATGATTGTTTGGTATCATAAGATAAATATTATATGGTATGTATCTTTAGTATAGTTAAAAGAAATTACAGTAAACACAACATAGTGTATGAACATACTAACTGCGTCTGAATATATTCGCTAAGATAATTTCCTAATCTAATGCGAAAGCCTAATCTCTCTATTAATAACTCCATATCCCTTCTTTTATTCCTGGTATTCTATCTATATTTTCACAGTACCTTTTTTGTAAATGATTTTATCGTACGGGAATTATTACATAAGCAACCTTCAACAGTAGCTTACAATCTAGACAAAAGCAAATATATTTTATTTCATTGTTTGGAAAATCCCACAAATCTCTACTAACGAAACTGGACAAAATGCAGACAGACAAAGATTAAATAGTTAGTTGAGATTAATTAAAGACAGTTATGACTACACATGAATGCAAGAGTTATTCAAATGTTCATTTGCTAGTCGGCCAATAGACGGAAAACAGATGGCCGTCATTATAGGGAAATACTGTCTACGAAAATCACAGACATCAATTAACTGTATGCAAGTACCTTTATGCATACTAAAAAAAAAAACCTGTTTTATAGAAATCACGCTAGAGAAATGGACCAATAGCACTTTTTTTAAACAATTTAATTTTGTAACTCAGATTTATTTCACTTCCCCTGCAATCGTTTTGCATACGAAAGCACTTAAAGGAAATTCAAAGACTTAATATGATTTGAACAAGAGTACAGTGGGCGTGTACAGTAATTTCTTCAGAAATATTTCATAGATGAAACAGATAATCACTGATTTTAACTGTCATAATAAGCTATTATTTTATCATGAGCATAAAGAAATGCGGTCAGAAATTTATAAAAATGTTTACAGTTTGAAATTAATATCGACATTAATACAACTGCTTTTCTTTGGGAAGTAAAATAACGCAAAATAAGAGTAAACATACCTGGAAATGTTGGTACAATAACTCTCACTCCTTCATTGCTAAGATCATTAATAAGATGACTAAATACACCGTAATTTCCAGGAATTCCGTGAATGCAAAGTACAGTTGGAGTTTTCTCATTGTTCGTATTTTTGTTGCAACCTACGGTATCAATATAAGCTATGTCAGCAAAAACGCCGCTTTCCGGAATGTGATAAAATTTTTTCTGTCTTCTCCATGTCTCATAAATATTCTCACATGTGTACACAGTTAGGGTTCTTTCAGGAAATTTTATATCACTCTTCTTCTTATGAACATCTTTCTGCTCCACTCCTTGACTAGATCCAAGATGTCGGATGAAAAATAGAAACACATTTCTTAGCTGAGGTAAAGAATGTATAGCTGTCGTACACGTAGGGTCAAAAGTACTGAGAACTGCTATCTTAGAAGTTCTAATAGTAAGATGACAGAGAACGGTGCATTGCCGCTTAAACATGCTGTAAGCTAAAAAAGAAAAATACTTTAAAGATCAGATTAGATCAAGATTTTGGAAAAAAATTATAAAAAATTGCTTAAATATTAAAAATACAAAGTATAAAATTTTTTCGAAAATCCATAAATCAAGTCCTTACATCAACCGTCAGTAAAGCAAATTCTCAATTAACTGGGATTAATTTGTTCTAGTGTTTTACATATTTCAATCTGCTTTCGATAAGCATACGTACTTTTTTAAGAGTAATTATAACTCAACATTATGATTTAAGAAAACTGTTTACTGACTGAAGAATACGTTTTATTAAGTAAATAACAAATGCAAAAATTTGTGTAGTTATGCCGTTATTAGGAAGGCATACACCCATCGCTTCATATGATCATATTTATTATATTTTAATGGCATTTTGAACTGCTTACTCAGTGTATGAACCGTGCACGTACACGAAAGCAATAAGAAGGGAGTATAGTTCTATATCTCTTGTTTTACTGGGCCGATTGGCGAAATTCAACTTGCGTTTTTCATGTCTCGAAAGCGCGACTTAGGATATATATTATATTTATATACAGCATCTTTCTAACATAGGTATTTTGACACAAAATCGGACTTTTTCTGAAATGACATGCCATTTTTTTTCCATATTTCGATTGTACGACTCAAATTATGCCTAAATATTAAATTTTGTAAACTTTGGTGCGAAATTTAAGGAGAAATTCAAAAATTTCTTTTGGCATATTTTTTTCAGTTTTCACCAAGAATAATTTACTTGGCGAACTTCTTAATTTATAGCAACCCACTTTCCTTTTCATTTTTTCATTATAAACGAGCGTAAAAGAAAATCATCCTTCATACTTTCAAATAATTTTAACAAAATGCGTGTTATCCTTTGGCGTTATTATCTCTCAAAAAAAAAAAAAAAAAAAAAGAGGTGCCAAATTTCAAAACGCTCCAATATGTAATTTCATGTTATCTTAGAAAATTTGAATAAAGAACTCTAATTTTTTGCAGGTATGCCTAGAAATACATACTTTAAGATGCTAAAAATTTTGTAGGTTATAATATATTTTCAATTTTTTTTCGAAAAATTTACAAAGATTATTTAAAAATTCAAATTTTAAAAATAAATCACAGAAAATGGGGGGAGGATTTTATTTGGAATGAACCTAAATTTCGAATTCTGGAAGAATGAATTAAGTAAGTTTAATTAAAAAAAGAGATATTAATAAATATATATCAGATTCAATTAACATTGAGGAGATAAAATTTTGAGAGATAATTCTTTAAAAACTACTCGTGCGATTTTTACGAAACTCGGTAGGTAGTTTGGTAAAATTTGAGTCGTAGAATCGAAATATGGAAAAAAAATTGGCATATAATTTCAGAAAGTCCGGTTTTGTATCAGAATACCTATATTAGAACAATGCTATATATAAATCTAATACATATTCTAAGTGGCGCTTTTGAGACATGAAAAGCGCAATTTGAATTTCGTCAACCGGCCCAGTAAAACGGAAGATATATAACTGTAATTTTTTTTCGCAGTGTACTTTGGTTGCCGTGAATTAGTTATAGCAATCAGCAATTTCACACCTTCGTAAATCGTTTAACTCTTTAATTATATTAAGATGTCATCCTTACAATGTATTTCAACCAAAGATGAAAATAAGACAGAAATGAATAATACATAATTTTGGGGTTACATTTGCGAACATCAGGTAGCCTTTGAAATATTTCTGAACCCCTTGAGCTTTCGCTATCGTAAACTATTACAACACTATCTACACCACAAATGTAAACAATCAAGTCCCCTGAGGCTCTAAATCTTTGGAATCTTTGTTTCAGAAAGAAAAGAAAAGAAAAAAAAAAACTAACGCCCTTCTTCTCACTCCCCGCAATATAAAATAACTTTCTTTCGTTCATTTATTTGAATACACAATTATTTTTTATCACTACTTTTAGTATACGTTTACTGAGTTTGCATTAGTAGCCTCCCAGGAGAGCGTTTATTCTGAAGTATAGAATATTTCTTAAATCTTTGAAATCTGTGTTGTGTTGCGACTTATCTTACTTGCCTGACAGTGACATCAGAATAAGCTCAGGAAATTCATCCTGGCTAGGAGAGCAAGAATACTCCCTGTCTTGGCAAAGCCTTGAGAACCATACAAGTGACAGTACGACTTCGCTCGATTCGGCCCCCAATTTTGAAAAACGGCACGCCGAGAGATTCGGATCCGAGGGCCTCCCACCCCTCTTCCATTACCATCAAACTCTCGACAGGACTTTCGGCTCGCCGCAAATTTAGAGTGCCCCCATGCCGCACAGACACTATACATCTACGAACATCCATGCCTTATCCGGTAATCGAATCCGGGCGCTTCGGTGTCGCAGTAGGCTTCCCTAACCACTATACCGTCTGAGCGGCTCTTTGAAATCTTCCACAGCATATGAATGAATTTAAACCCAGAAATATTCTCACTTAACTGTTCTTTGATTGGCGGAGTTCTGAACTGGAGGAAAAAATATCTCCCAAGGATGCTAACTCGTGGTTTCAAAGGAAAACTGATTGGACCTCATATTTGTCGAAGAAAACTTAATCAAACGCTAACAGCAAAGACAGGCTATGACGCGGCTTAATCACGTGACCGAAAACAGTTGAAAACATTAAATGTGTGCATCAAGTAAGCGCAATGAAATTATAACAATGCCTGAATGTTCCTTTCTTGTTCCAGGACAAAACTCACCTAACAATTTTCTATAGAAAAATGCATATGCCAAGAAGCTAGTCGTACATTATTATCAGTGGAATTTATGCGTCGCGACCACAAATTTACAATAAAGAAGGGTAATGCTAGGTGACTAAAAATCCTAGAAAATCTAAAAGATCCGATGATATCCTAAAAAAATCTGATATCTAAGAGTCCATGCTTTGACTGGGGTCGCGAAATTGGTTTTTTCTTCGGGGGAGGGGGGCGGATCGTTTGCATTTTTAATGGGTGTCGCGCCATAAAGTTTGAATACCACTGCTTTATACGATTCTTATTTTTGTGCATTCAAGTGGAGATGCTGGAATGAAGACAAAACCTTTATTTATATGCGCGGCTATTTCTCGTATGTTTTATTCTAGAAAGTATGTATTGTCAATAAAATATTTTTATTAAAGTGTACCACTATATTTTAGTTCTTTGGTAACAGAAATAACTAACCTAAAGCACATATTTCATAAAACTAGAAAAATTTTACCATCACGTTTTCGTGTCAGAAAATATCTTTTATACACTCTTTTGCAGAGGAGAAAAAACTTAAAAAATAATTCGATCATCTCGAAATTTTGTATGCAAATTCCTTCATACCAATAACGCAAACAATTTAATTTTCAAGACCAGTAAACATTAACTTCCGTCGCAGTGCGTGTTTCTGCTAGCATCGTATAAAGCAGGTAACAGTTGCGGACACAATTACTAATATAATGGCTGTTACGACGTTGCCGAAGACCTGGGCGACTTACTGTATTCGAGTACAGTAAGGATGCGTGAAGCAGGCTGGTCATACCGAGCAATAGGCCGCCATCTACACCGTACGGATAGGTCTGTGCGGGTTGGGCTTGGCTGAGGCGAGGTTGCACTCACATTGGCCTTTAACTACACAACATCGACAAAGTCATCTGGAGTGGTGTCGTAGCTGGTCATCATGGCTATCAGCCGATCAGGGATCGCATAGTTTTTCAGCGATGACCAACGGGTGATGATTCTTCACTATGATCTAGCGATTGGGTCCCCCAATACCCAGTCGCTCTTTAAAAGGGGAGTACATAAGGCATTTTCTCCTTCCTTTCTGCTTGCCTTAATGGCGTAATGGTAGCACACTCGGCGCATATTCGAGAGGTCCAGATTCGAGTCCCGGCGAGGGCATTGCACATTTGTCATGTCTCCCGCATCAGAAAAAAAATCCTAATGCCTCTAAAAGTGATTCCAGCATACTGCATGAACTTAAAAAAGAACTTTCTACGATTTTTTGTTTGTTGAGTAAACTACCATAAACCGAAGCATGTGTAAGATTCCCATGAATTATAAAACATAATTGCAATTCATTCTATGCAGAATAGTGCAATGCTGTGAAAAAAATTTTCAGTGGGTTGCCACTAATATTAATCACATTTCAGATTACTAAAACTGGAAACTTGCTTCAATAATATAGAACATTTCTGTCAATACATTCTTGAATTTAAACTACAATATTATTAATTTTCCTCAAACGATTTTCAAATTTCGCATAATGCGTATCGGTTTAGTAGGTTAAAATGATAAATGTAACAAAAATAATAATTTAACTCTTACTTGGTAATTAGAGACACATAGTTTCCCTTTGAATGAATTACTGAAAATGGAAAGTAAATTTTAAAATTTATATAATTTATGATATACAGGGTGAATCTGAACAAAAAGGCAGCTATATGAGCAATATTCGTCATAAGAATGTATGGTTGGAACACAAACAGCCAGCCACTAGGTGGCATTGTAAATAAATGGTATAAAAAAGGTCAGCAAGGGGTAAGAAGTTAAAGGGTAGTTTTCCACTGTCACATTTAAAGAATTAACACAAGAATGAGAGGAGATACTTCAGAAAACATTTTATTAACAACATGCTCATAGAAATTGCTCAAAACAATTTCCGCCAGGTATAATGTGGGCTTCACAGCTCCAGGATAGGGACTGACGCACATTTGCGAAGACACCAAGCATTTCCCGAACATCGGCGGCAAGAAGAGCGATCCTGGCGAGTAGATCCATATTGGTTTCAAATGGGCCCTCGCAGATTAGGCTTTTCATATGGCTCCACAGAAAAAGTCCAAATACGAGAGATCCGGTGACCTTGGTAGCCGAGCTATGGGACCACCTCAACCAATCCATCGCCCCGGAAATTTCGTGGTTAGTATAACCAGCAATATTGTCGGCAATACACGGTAGAAAATTCCGTTGTATGCGACGACCTACCCTTTTTATACCATTTATTT